TTTTCTAAACACATGATATTTACAGTGGACTCCTTTTGAACCAAACTCGGTTAATGAAACAACTGTCAGTCTTTTCTAAACACATGATATTTACAGTGGACTCCTTTTGAACCAAACTTGGTTCACTAAAAAAACTGTCAGTCTTTTCTAAACACATGATATTTACAGTGGACTCCTTTTGAACCAAACTCGGTTAATGAAACAACGGTCAGTCTTTTCTAAACACTTGATATTTACAGTGGACTCCTTTTGAACCAAACTTGGTTAATGAAACAACTGTCAGTTTTTTCTACGGCTAATGAAGAAACAGTGATAAAGCAAGACTATCGTGAAATCGAAATAACCATATTATGTGAGGCAGCGTGGTGGAATCAGGCTCTCGTCAATTTTAGGGCATGTACAGTTATTGGTATCATCCTAAAACGTGTTCACTTGTCTTTATTTGGAAGAAAATAATATCCATTTATCTTAAATACAAGTCGAGATATTTGGGAAAGAAGGAGGTGGGGGTCACCTGTTTTCAGAGGTAAAATTAGTGAGAAAATGGCCGCCAAAGATTAGTTATTTCCTTAGCTTAAGAGTCCGTGGTAACTGAAAATTTACATTTTTTGTGTGCCTTTATTCAACGTTTTTCAGAAAATTCCACACATAAATGAGTTCTTTAATTGGCAAGAAAGGTGTCGAGCCAAAAAACAAAAATTTGATAAAAATTCACGAACCTGCGGAAAAATGCAAGTTTCTTCACTTTGATTATTTTGACGAGAGCCTGATTCCACCACGCTGCCTCATATACGATCTCTCGTTATTTGGCTTTCTTTCTGTTTTTCATTTCAATTTCGTACCATCTGTGTTAACAGAAGAATAAAAAGAAAAAAAAGGAATGAGAACGATAGTTCGTCCATTAATGTCTGACGATAGCCAAGATCCGCTCACTCAATCTATCGTCCACTCACTCAATCTATCGTTCAATCACTTAATCTATCGTCCACTCAATTAATCTCTCGTCCACTCACTCACTCTATCGTCCACTCACTTAATCTATCGTCCACTCCACTCACTTAATCTAGCGTCCACTCACTTAATCTATCGTCCACTCACTTAATCTATCGTCCACTCACTCACCCTATCCTCCACTCACTTAATCTATCGTCCACTCACTCAATATATCGTCACTCACTTAATATATCATCCACTGACTTAATCTATCGTCCATTCACTCGATTTATCATCCAAACAATCTCTCTCCTGCAAAATCTATCAATCGTCTATTGTATCTATCGCCCACTCAATCTACTGTCCACTCCCTCAATTTATCGTCCACTCACTCAATTTAAGGTTCAAACAATCTATTGTTCACAAGTCTATCGCCAACAAAAATAATCGTCAACGCAATCTCTCATCTCCACAATCTATATATCGTACACTATATATATATATATATATATATATA